GGTGGGGACACTGGGAAGGGGGGGGTGGTGCTGGGCTCCCGTGGGTGCGGAGGACGCCGGTGTCGGGGCTGTCAGGCCGGCACTAAGGATGAGTAATGAAGGGAGCGGCGGCTTTGGCAGCGCTGCCGGAAAGGCTTTTAAACGAGGGGGGGTGGAGGTGGGGGGGTGGAAAGGAAACCAATAAATTAACCAGCTCTTTAAGGTCCCGATGAGTGCGGGAGCGACAGGGACAGGCTGATGGTGGCAGCGACTGCTGGAGGGACACGGCCAGCCCGGCCTGCTGGGGTGGGGGGGGCACGGCCCGGGGTGCAGGGTCCGACCCGGGGTGCAGGGTCCAACCTGGGATGCAGGGTCCGACCCGGGATGCAGGGTCTAACCTGGGGTGCAGGGTCTGACCCGGGGTGCAGGATCCGACCTGGGGTGCAGGGTCTGACCCGGGGTGCAGGGTCTGACCCAGGGTGCAGGGTCTGACCCGGGGTGCAGGATCCGACCCGGGGTGCAGGATCTGACCCAGGGTGCAGGGTCTGACCCGGGGTGCAGGATCCGACCCGGGGTGCAGGATCTGACCCAGGGTGCAGGGTCTGACCCGGGGTGCAGGATCCGACCCGGGGTGCAGGATCTGACCCAGGGTGCAGGGTCTGACCCGGGGTGCAGGATCCGACCCGGGGTGCAGGATCTGACCCAGGGTGCAGGGTCTGACCCGGGGTGCAGGATCCGACCCGGGGTGCAGGATCTGACCCAGGGTGCAGGGTCTGACCCGGGGTGCAGGATCCGACCTGGGGTGCAGGGTCTGACCCGGGGTGCAGGGTCTAACCCGGGGTGCAGGGTCCGACCCTGGCAGCCCAGTCCCAGCAGGTTTCAGGAGCTGGGAGAGGTGCCCATTCCCACCTGCAAGCGCTTCAGGATCGTTAAATCCTCCTAAACGAAGCTGCGCTGCTGATGATGATGGTGATGATGGATGAGCAGGAGGCTCTGACTATGAGGGAGAGCCTGGATCGGGCCCTCCCGCACCCCGCACCCCGCATGGGGTCCAGCAGCCACCAGCCAGTGGGGAGGGAATGGGGCAAAGGGGGTGTTTCACCAAAGGGAGGGTGCTGGGGGGGGGGTCCTACCGTCCATGTCGAGGCGCTGGATGATGACCTCCAGCTCCACCTCGTTGGGCATGTAGCCCAGGGAGCGCATGGCCGTGCCCAGCTCCTGCTTGGAGATGAAGCCGTTCCCATCCCGGTCAAACACCTTGAAGGCTTCACGGATCTCTGGGGGGGGGGG